GAAAGCGATGCAAGTCAACGCCGACCATGTTGCTGTTCGACATGACTGCAGCGTGGAGCAGCACCGCAAGTCCCAGACAGAGGTGGAATACCGTCGTGCTAGTTGACAATGGCTCGGTCTAGGGTGGACGACCGAGCGTCTGGCCGATAAGAAACACTCGCCAGGTTACACTGACAGCGCGCACGGCGCGGAGCTCCAGTCTCCAGACTCCAGCCTATAGTCACTCAGCGAGATTACACTCCTCGGTGAGAGACCGACACCTTGGCAGTCGAATCACCGGCCCAACACTCTCCAACAGGGCTCCAGGATATACCTATCTTCTCCAAGAAGCGCGTATGTACCTCCATACGGCAGGCGTCATCTCCCGGCGTATCACTGCGACAAGCCATCAACAAAGGGGCTTGTCACTCGCACCGTCATCCCGAGAAACTCAGAGCGTCTTTTTCCGGCCCCCGGTTTGCCATATTGCCTCGGTCGCCCAACCATTCTTCGATCAAGCTTTCCCATGCTCGCTTTGTCGACCGCCCAAGGACCTCGGTGCGTCCAGCAGCCTAATTGCACGTCCCTTTCCGACACGCGACTGCTTCACCGACCTTCTCTTATTGCTAATCACAGACCAGCGACCAGCGACCCAATGTTGCCCAAACGCAGCAGGGTGCATGCCTTCTGTCCGGCTTCCGGAACCGGAACCTAGAATAACTGTCAGTCACGGTCATCCCCGGGAGCTTCTTTTGGCCAGTGCCGTGGCCAACGTGATCATTGTTGATCGTATTCCGAAAGAAACCATCTACTGGGAAAACACGTCGTCTACGTCTTGCTTGAGTCACACACCAGGTGACACCAGAAAGCCCGCCCGGTACACGTACTGGTCTCGAGTAGCATCGCCACTGCGATGTGTCGGGACCCTTACGAATAGAGGCGCCGCCTCCCATGCGCCAGTGCCAAGTTGAAATGCAGCACAAGCTGCAGATGAGACACATACACGTAGGGCAGCTGCAAGCTAACAGCTGCGTCGCCCACGGGAACTTGGCGTGGATGTCCTAGTCGCCATGTGTTCGCTTGAAATCCATCTGCCAGCACTTTCTCGTTGAACAGCGTCATAAGCCATGCATCGCATTCTACTGCGCAGGTCGCACTGTCGCACACCTAGGTATTACTGTTAGCCTCAAATCACACCTCCAACCGCGACGCGAGGCGCAAATCGAACCGAGCTTCTCCATACGACGTGATACGGATTCATGGACTATGGAGTATGGACACACGCACTGCCCCGCTGGGCAGCAGACATCCTCGCTAAGTCCGTCCATCTTGAATCCTTGATACACATCGGCCCTTTCCAGAGGTTCGTTGCTTGTCATTACGCCGCACTCCCAGCCAAGCGAAACGGTCTACCTGCGCCAATCATGGGCCCGCCGATCAGGTCGCGGTGCTGGATACACCTTCCACGATAGGCACTCGATCATGCACCCCGGCGCTGTCCCGCGTGATGCTCATGATCCGCACCTTTAACGAGGCACAACTCGTATATCCTCGACAATCGGACAAACAAATTCTCTCAAAGCTGTCTATCTCAGGGGCCGCTTCAAAGTTCAGCCCAATTCCCAGGCTCCTGGGGCACTCGCTGCCCAGCATGCCGCAAGCGCGCCGTCGCAAAAAGTGTCCCAGCGCACGGGTCACCGGGGGTCGAATGTAGTCTTCCGTCGCCGGCCGGTTTGTCCTTGCAAGAACGCTCATTAACATGGTAAGCCTCACCTTGGCTACTCGACTAGGTCATGCTATGATCCTGCTGCCTGGTTTGCTTCCTCTCATCTCCCGGACAAGCCGCAGATTTCAAGCGGGATCCGGAAGCATCCACGCGGCGAAGCGGGCGTTCACGCGCAAAGTCTAGCTGCAACTTCCGTCACCGATATCCAACACCGAGACCACAAAGCTACACTACAAACTTTCCTGATCAATAAGGCCGCGGTATGATCTCATTTTCCAACATGCCAGGTAATAAGCTATCAGTTATTGGCCACCCAAGCCCGGCAAAGAGGCAGCGGTGTGTCCAGCGTCGGGGTAAAGGGAAACCCCTATCGGTCGGTCCATTCACCATCCTAATTCTCAGACATGGCCATGCGACTGAGCGCACCCGGCGGAACGGTTCCCCGTATTCACCATCCCAGTGACATCAGCCGTGAAGTGGTCTTCTACCGGTGTCCCGTTCGGGGTTCTGCGAATTTGTGTCCGTTCCTGTCTTCGGCCCTATTTCACCGAAGTCTGCGATTCCTATGGTCTCGTAGCAACTCGGAACTCGTAACTCGCCATTTATCCAGAAGAGTCGGTGATTCACTCGGAGTTCCCGCAGATTGGAACAGACGTTGGGTTGTGTGATACATACTTCTCATGGATCTATCGCAGAGGGTTCGCCACACACACCAGCAAGAACCGATCATCGTCCCGTGTCTCAGCGTTTGATGGTTTTTCCCTGATAATTCCGATGATTTCTCCAACCTTACCTTTTTGGAGACCGACGTCCAGCTCTCGCCAACCTTCTTGCTTGCCCATATTAGTGACCGATTCGTTTTTTCCCGTCCGTTCAGTCCGCGGGCCGGGCCAGCCCGGCTTACACACGGCGGTGATGGCGACGATCTTCCTCAATGTGGCATGTCGGTTACATGCCTAGGGATGTCAGCAGCCATGGATCATGGTAGCGTTCCCGACGGTTATTACAACGGCTTTTGGAGCTAACATATCTCGCGCTCCCACAAGTTTGAAGAGCGACTTCTGCATGCCCAGGATTAGCGCAGCCAAACGGTTGATGGGGCCATACATTATTGCTCTTCTGTTGCACTCTCGCTTCCTGTGGTGCGCCTACCCAAACAGACTAACACACTCATCTTTGACTCATGGGAATCGAAAGGTAATAGATAGATGTCAGCATCGGACTGTCCCGTTGTACTCGGCCCGGGGTGCGGCGCCATAGCTTGAGGCCGAGGTGAGGGTGCGGGACACACCGGTACTTTTGCTGGCCTTTTGAATCGCCAGCCTATGATTTCGGTGCCCTGGTCAGACGCAGACGTACACATACGGACTCGTAGGTGGGAATGTAGCAACCGAGGACACCTCGGATCCTTGGGATCCCATCGTTCCAAGGAACCATTGCCGCTAAGGTCGATCTCGGTTCTGCGTTTCTGCCGTTTGGGAAAATGCAGCACTGTTCTGCAACGTTTCCCTCCTCTGGATTAATGTCATGGATGCAATCATGCATCCCACTTTTCGGCAGATTTGTTGGTCCCCCACGCCATTTCGGGGGCGTCCGAAGGGCGGGTTCCCGTCCCCCGCAGAGGAGACCAGGCTTACCGCTTACCACGGTTTCGGGACGGCGATATCAAATAAATCTCCATGGTGAGAGATAGCGCTAACGATGAGGCGATAGCATCGTGGAATGGCGATGACCAATGTGTTTTCAACGTGATTGTTTATCGAGTTTGGTACATCCCCACGCAGCCCTGGTTAAGTACCTTAATGTTTGGTGGGTGGCGTGGTTAGGTGGGTAGATGGTTTGTCCTTCCTTTTCAGCTCAGCTTGGTGTCCTTGGAATCTTTGATAAGATATTCTATGTGATCGTGGTAGTGGTTTGCCTTTCTTTGGTTTTAGGTTTATGAGAGGTGAGTGCAAAAACGCCAGCTGAGTGAGGCGAGGCACTTCCGCTCAAAGAAGTAGCTTTTTTTTCTCCCCCTTGTGCCGTTTTGCTATTGCTACCCTGCTCTTACAAGTCTCCGTCTTTCAAGTCTTGTGACTCGTCCTCCAACCCCGGGCATTACCAATCATCCGGTGAGAGAACATGATGATGATGCTAGGTATCCATGTCTTGTAACTCGGAGTGACTGGACAACGAGTCGGACGGGGGTTTTCTTCTCACCTCATTACTAGCGAGGCAAAGAGGCGGCACGGGGGATTGACGATGTGACCTTGCTGAAAAGACGTGGTCGTATCGATTCTTCAGCAGTGAGACGACCATATTATTTGATTTGATTTGATTTGATTTGGCTTAATATAATGTGGTTGGTAAAAAGTCCTTGCCTAAGAGGCTGTGCAAAGACTTTTTTTTGGGAGTTGTAAGGCGGCAAAGCTTTTTCTTTTCTTTTTCTCACATCATCTTTTGGGGGTTTCGGTATTTCTGATGCGACGATGACGTTCTTCCGTTGTGTATCGGAGGAGGTGAGAGTTGTATGCATACAGGCAGCAAGCAGTCTTACGTCCCAGCGTGTGCGGGTGTGGTTTTTCTCGTCATCACGTGAATATGAGTTGGATTGGCTAATGTCTTTTGGTGAGGTTTGCGTGACTTTTACTAGATCGTGGGCGAGGATAATTTCTGACCATAGAGCTAGAGAACCTGGATTGGAATTACATGCTCTGCGTAAGGTAGTCTTAACGTGTTTATTGATGGTTGTCAAATCCAAGTTGATGAGAAACCTTCAGAATAGGATAGATGACTGGCTTACGCATTTCAGTCCAATCTCCCATGGCTTCAAGCAACCGTAGGAAGCCAGCTATCCTCAACTCCATACCCTACTCCCGAACATGAGCATCAAGAACTTTTCAATCCTTCCTCAACCTCTTGGTGCGGCCGTCGCTGTGTAGTCGTGGGCTGCAGCGCGATGGAGCGGATCCCAAACTGTTTTAACCTCGCGGCAATGACATTGGCCGTAGACGCGAAGCTGGTGATGCTGTCTTCTCTTATGGTGATGTGTGCGGTTGCGAGGCTCGTTGTCTGGTCTAGTTGCCAGACAAGTAGGTTCGAAACTTCTTGGACACCGGGGACCTGGAAACAGCTTGTCAGTCTTCTTTCACCCCCCCCCCCCTCTCTCTCTTTTTGTTTTTTCCAAAAAATCACCTCCTCCACATCCGCATTGCCTATGGCGTACGGTCAGGTACATGAATTCTCTTCCCGACTTATTCATGATTGTTTGGGTATAAGGCGGTAAGGTAAGGTACACCACGATATCGAAAGTAAACTACTTTACCTTTAGCATCTCTCCCTGAACGAAATTAACATCAAGTTGCGCAGGAGCGCTTTCCATCAGGATCTGGCCCGCGCGCCGGCAGAGAGGCCCAGCGGAGAGCATGATTGTCAGGGCGATGAAGACACCGACGCCCGGATCGGCGTAGAAGCGGTTGGGAGAAGGGGATTTCCAGACGATGAGGGCGGCGATTATGACGGAGAGGTTGTTTAGGGCGTCGGTTAGGACGTGGAGGAGGACGCCTAGCATGTTGAGGTCGCGGGTGTAGGTGTGTTGCTTGGCAGATGCTGGTAGTGCCGGTATTGGAGTGTTGGAGGGGGAGGGAGGGTCTCTAGACTCTTCGTCGGGATGTCTTGTTTCTTGGGTGTGGTGATGGTGATGGGTTTCTGAGTCTTTGGTGTTAGAGTTGGTATACACAGCTTGTTTGAAGATCTTGCTCACCGTGGAGGAAACTTAGGACTATGACGTTGAGCCCGAGGCCTATGCAGCCCATGATCAGAACCAGTACTGGGTCGTCGACATCTGTAGATAGTTGTCAACAATTTTGAGCTCGTTTCAATCGTTTGGCCGAGGGCCAAGCCCATCGGGACTGGCGGGTAAGAAAGGCCCAAGACTCACGCGGAAGTTGAGTGAATCTCTCAATGGCTTGAAGGAGGATGCTGACACCCAACGCAAGCAGAAACACGCCGTTGAAGAAGGCTCCCATCACCTGGGCGCGTTTCCAGCCAAAGGGTAGGGATTTAGGTGGAGGGGTTTTCCTCTCCGAGACCTTTTTTTTGGTACATCAGTGTTTAGTCCAGGTATGTTTTGCTTAGGTCTGAGAAGAAGGCCATTGAAGTTTGGACAAGGAAACCTTACAATCACTGCCATTAAGGCGACGGCGAACCCTATTAGGTCGTTCATCTAGATCGTTTTGTCAGATACACGGCACCAATCACATAAACACAGTTGGGAGATTGGGTTTGGTTGCTATACATAGTGAAAGGCGTCTGCTACTAGAGCAAGAGACTTTGTGCGGTACCCGATGACCAGCTCTGCGACGAAGAAGCCGCCAGATATCGCGATTGTGGCAACTAGGCGCTGCTTTTTGTTGAGCTTGAATCGAGACATGTTTTTTTCGGGCTTTCCGACGTCCGAGGGAAGGTATCGTGGAACTCCCACAAATATTTGACTTGAAATTCAATAAAAGCAATAGAAAGGGAGAACGAGTCAACACCTGTAATAGGAGTGACGTTTTGAACCGCTCTTTAGTTGAAATCTATTTGTTTCTACCAACGGAAGAGGGCTTTCGACAGCGGTCGTACAGCTACAAGGACCGACGGATGAGAATCTCGTACAGTCGGGTCATTTCCTCAAGACTCAGGACGTACAGACACGAGACTGATGTGTCCGTTCCGGGCCGGGCTGGTACATACACACACGGGAAGGAAAAGGAAGCATGGAAGTTGTTTTCTGTTCTTCAAACAAAGTTTGGGGCTGATGACTCGTAGGTTTCTAGGCATTACGCAGCTTCGCTCACTCATCCTGGAATCATAGACTCTGGAATAGGTTTATGGAGAACTTTTAAAGGAAGGTGAGCACGATTCAAGTTTGGTTGTTGGCCAAGTGGTTATCGATTCGGATAGCTGCGTTGTCACTGTGCGATGCGCCTCCTCAGCGGGAACAAAAGGGGATCGGAGTGTTTGCTTTGGCATAGTTGAAGGTGTCACATCTTGGTTGTCTTTTGCTCCCAGAGTAAGGGCTTCATTGGATGCCTGGATGGTGTTGCGTTGACGTGGCTGGTTGCTTTAGTACGAGAGCTTGTGGTGGTGAACCGGAAGGAGGTTAGTATTACCCCGAGTTATGAGGCGGCGAGGTCACGGAATTAGAGTTAAGGAGTCAAAGTGGAAGCAGTTTCTTGTTTTCTTGACTTAGATCAACACGCATGTCAACTTTGAGTCTCCGGCGAGGATTGTCAGAGCAATTGGCATCTATTTCATAGAGAGGATTGGATGCAATATGTTTGGCTTCAGACAGAGACGAATTCCCTTCAAAAGGAACGTGTTTTGCTGTGCAACTAAGACGATGACAGGTCCCGGGTCTCAGATTGGATGCACTCAATTGAGACCAGATGAGACCCTGGGAGATGCGAGCATCAAGAACCTGGGGATTGTCTAAGCCAAAAACGACAGGCGGTGTGGCGTAGTGAGAGCTCGGCGCCACAATTCTGCCGTCGCGACGGAGCTGCACCTTGTGACGATGCCACTACGGTCCGTCAAGGAGCCTCAACTACAGCCGATTGAAGCCATTCGCAAGGTTCACAATCCCATTAACACCAAAATATACGAATAGATTCGGTGTAATTGAACGCAAGCAACGAAATGCCACTGCGAAACCTCCACACAGGCCACCGTTGACGAGCCCCTCCCTCGTCGCGCAACAAGCAGCCATCTCCCACCTCCCCCCACTAACACCATCACCACTACGAACGCTCTGCTCCCACGATGCCTCGCAATGCCGGCGCGGCACCCTCCCTGCGCAAGGGACCCAACTGGTCCTCTCACCTCCGCCAGTTCAGCCGAAGTAGCCTCGAACCGCCCTCCGCGACATCGTCTGTCGACTCGCCCCGATCCCCCGATACCGTCTCCAGTGCCTCAACCATCCGCGGCGACAACTCGTCCAGCTCCGTGAAACAGCGCCGTCTCGAGAGAAGGTGCACCGTCGGCGTCAACGAGGGATACTCGCGCGACGAGGTGCTCCTGAGCCCGGAGGTGATCAAGGGCGATGTCAGACCCGGGAGCCTCGTGGCCATCACCGTGATTAAGACCGAGGGCGATAAGACTGCGACAAAGGACCATGCGACGGCACGCGGAGGGAATCCTGCGAGCAACGCCGGCGCGGGAGCGGGACAGGGCGATGCGGCGCCCGAGGGAGCGACGCTGGGGAAAAAGTACTTTTGCGTCGCGAAGGAGATGTCCAAGGAGCTCAAGAGCCGCCTGCCCAACGTCGACATCTACGTTGTCAAGCATATAGCAGATGCCTTTGGCATGAAGAAGGGAACGCAGGTACTCTTGACGCCGGTGGATGCTGATAACCCCGCGACGGCCGCCTCACACGTCGAGCTTTCTTTCAAGGACCAGTACCTCTCGCGATCCGACATGTGGCGCCTGGCGATCGGCGAACTCACAGAAAGGACAGTCTACAAGGGCCAGTCGATACTGTTCATGGGCACGATAAAAGCGCAGGTCACGGCGGTATTCGTGGACGGACGAAAGACGCACTCGGCCTTCTTCACAAGGAACACCAGGCCGATTTTCCGAAGCGAGTCGGCGAGGTACGTGCTGTTCATCCAGATGGCGCGTGAGATGTGGGACTTCGACTCGGAGGGGTCCGGCGAGATCCTCTTCAACAAGGTCGTCAACGGATTCCTGCCGGCGCTGTTCAAGAAGTGGGCCAAGCTCAAGGCCAAGCACCTCGTGAGCATCGTGCTCTTCGCGAGGGTGGAATACGATACAGGTCTGACAACGGAACTGGCGAGCAGCACGCTGCACGGGGACTACTACACAGGCGTGCAAATATCAGGCGACCGCAGGCCGTACAAGGACTTTTACCGTGTCGTCGTTAGCGAGATGGCGAGCGGGGAGTGGACGACAATTCTCAATCAGCTGAAGCGCGAGTTCAACTTCTTCCGGCGGGACATTAGCTTGCACCACCAAAAGGCCAACAGCGCGTTCGTGCCGCTGGCCGAGGAGAACGGCGGCAAGGGCATCGCGTCCAACCGCGTCAAGGCCGAGTCGTCGCTGGCCATGTACGGCAACTTCCTCGAGGCCATCAACCTCGCCTCGTCCCAGTTCGCGCACGACTATGTGGACCGCGACCTTATGCGGACGGGCATCTCGATTGTCGTCATCAGCCCCGGGCCCGGCGTTTTCGAGGTTGAGTATGAGTCTCTGCGCCGGACCACAGAGGCCCTCGTCGGAAACGGCATCGGAATCGACCTCATCTGCGTGCCAAAGATGCCGCTCCACTCGGTCCCGCTGTTCCGCTATCGGAATCCGCAGACTTCGGAGGGCTCGCACGGCTTGTCGAGATCGAGGTCCGTACGGAGCCGCGAGAGTACGCCAAAACAGCAGGCCACGCCCATCATCGGCAGTTACCAGTCGGTGGCCGAGTCGCTGTCACCGACAAAGGGACTAGAGCTCGCCCACCGCATCGACAGGCTTGCGAACCCGCAGGATGAGTGGTCGTACGCGGTGCCCCAGTGGCTGCACGTCTCCTACTGGACAGGGACATCCGAAGAGGCGCTGTCGTATCAAGGCATCGCGCTCTCGGTGTCCGAGGACAAGGAGGGCCAGGAGAGCGAAGACTTTGCGATCCGCGCGAGGATGTATGATCTACAGATGCGCAGCGTACTCGAGACGAACGAGATCGAGACTACACCGCTGCAGGCAGACCCGCTGTTCCCTGTAACAACGACCGAGTCTAAGAGCTCACTGCGTTCGCGGCTCAGCGGCACGGATGAGATCGCCATGATACCCCTGAAGCGCCACCAGGACACGCTCGTGGACCATGTGTACGGGTTCCAAAAGTTCATGCCCGACAAGTTTGTGAAGCCCGGCGAGAAGTCGCTGTGGAAGCAGCTGCAGGAGTATGACGAGACCAGAGCGAGGTTGCCAAGGTCGCGGCGGCCCGCGCAAGCCAGGGCCTCGCGGGATCTAGAAGAGACGACGAGGCGGCAGCTGATGGAGGACGCGGGGCTATTCGGGACGTCGCTGCCCGAGAAGAAGATTGTGCCGAACCAGAGCCTTGCGGCCGTCACGGCCGGGCGCAAGTTATCAGTCAATATTGTGGATAGCGAAAAGGCCGAGATTGTGGCCGCTGCGAGGAAGGCTGCGAATCATCCCCCAGTGGCACCATCGGCGGGGGCGGCGGGGACGTCTTCTAACCAGACGTCGTCTTCTACTTCCTCATCGACGACCCCCGATTCTCACAGCGTGGCGGGCAAAATGTCTGTGGCATCGCCGTCCAAGCCTCCTAGGTTTATGCGGCAGATCAGCCTCGGCCTGCGGGGCTTCGGCATCGCGGCGCCCAAGGTGGTGGCGGCGGAGGCGAGCTTCGAGACGGTCAAGGCGTCGACGGAGCAGAGCGTAACGAGCCCCACGATGCCGCTTGTCATGTCGACGATGCCGCGCCCTTCGTCGCCGCAGGTCATCAAGCCAAGTATTTCGACGGCCATGTCCTCGTTCTCGCCGCAGCTGTTCCGGTCGGACTCGCGCGATACCCTCAAGGATCTGCCCTCGACGCCGAGCATTCCAATTAACATGAAGTCTTCTTCACGCCGGGGCGAGAGCTCGGTCGGCCAGCAGCATAGGTACGGCACCGTCCTGCCGTCGTCACTGGCGCGCAAGGACCATTTCCGGGAGGATCCCGACCAGAGGAACTCTCACGTGTTCAGAGCAGAGGAAGACAATCAGAAAATGTTCAATAGTAAGCTGCGCGCTGGTGCTATGCCCGAGTTACCGTCTACATTGTCGCCAATGACGGCCATCTCGCCCTGGCTCACGGTGCTGAACCCGTCGAACCCGGACAGGAACAAGGTGGATGATACCGTGCTCTACAGCCGGTGGCAGCATGTGTTCCCCCGGACTTCGGAGATGAAGGTCATGAAGTGGAAAGCCCTGTGCTGTCCGGCCGCTGTGCCGCTCACGACCGAGTACTTTCCTTCAAAATCACAGTTTGACACGGAGTACCAGAGACAGCCGTATGTCATTGCGCAGAACGCCGACGACGAGCTTACGGAGGAGCCGAAATCAAGAGAGGAGTTTCTGCGGGAGCTGATCAGCCTCCGTTTTTCGCAAGGCTTCCAAGTTGTTATCGGCCCGTCTGTCGCAAAAGCGTTTGGGCAGAAGCTGCTGCGGATCGCCGACATTTTCTCACGCGACCAGGCGATGGAAGACGGCACGAGCATCTTCCTTTCGGTGGGCAACACGATACACCAGCTTTCGTGTGTGAATGGCACAGAGGTGGAGGTGAATATTTACATACGCAAACCGGCCGAGTTGACGGTTGGGAACTCCCATTCCGGCCCGTTGTATAGGCCGGCGATCCGGACGTTGATGGAAAGCGGGTAT